CCCCAAAACCCCAAAACCCCAAAACCCCATAAAGAAAGCTTAATTATTTTTCAAAATCAATTGTGATTAATCAGATTTTATAATCTCAACTGATATTACTATAAATTTATATAAAAGGATCTCAAAATCGCTAATTATTATTTAAAAATGATAAGAATAAATACCTTATAAATCAGTTTATTCACTACTTCTCTAATATTTCGTGCAATTCTAACCTAATAATGTAAATCTTAGTTAGATCATAAAATTTAGGCTGAGAAGATGAATATCTAGATTTAGAATCAAATACTTGTCAAAGTAAGAAATTTATAGCACTTCAAATTTTCAAACTTTATAATTTAGAATGTTATAATGCGGTCTTTGGTTGTCTTTCATGTTTATAAATAAATACAGTTCCCGGTGAAATTAGAACTCAATGTTTAAGCTGCTTAGATGGCTTTTTTCTTCTTTAAGGTTCCTCCATACATTAAAACTTCAATCTCTGCACTCCTGATTGCTAGAATACTCACAGCTCCTTCATAAATGGATAGAGTGAGTCTGAATGTCTTTGTAATAATATTATTAAAATATTTTAATTATAGCATGTGGCGGCAATTGCTAAGCTTGCAATTAAAAAGATGGCTGTGAGATATGTCCAGGAGAGAATTAATCGAAAGGTTGGGTAACAGCAATCTAATTTAAAAATGGCAATCAGTCACCCTAAAATAATATAAAAATTTGCTAAGGTATATTTTCACAAATTAGCAATTAATAGAATGTTAAACTGGAATTGAGTGTAATAAATGCTTAAAAGAAGATATAACTAAATGTAGCGAGTGTAACTTCCCTGTTAATCAGAAATCTATATTGACTGGAGATTTTGAAAATCCATGCAGTAAGACATATTTTATCAAAGATTTGAATAGGTCCTTAGTCAGAATCCTCATACAGTTCTGATAGGAATTGTTTGATTTTTGACTATGAAAATTAATAAAATTGTTTGAAATGTAAAGATGGATACTATTTGCCTAAAAACTCACTCTTTAATGAGACAATATAAAATTATCAAGACATATGTTTACAATGTAACTATATTTTTGCTGTAATATCTATTTATAGCATAATAGAATGATATCTGTCTAGATGCAGTGACTGAATAAGATTGCTAGGCATGCATTTATGGTTACAGTCTATTTACTAATGCAGATGGAAACAAGCAATGTCATTGTAAGAAATTCAAAATCTCTAGCCAGCTTAATTTAAATTCTTAAATAAATGACTAATTTATCTTAAAATAGAATGTGAAACAGATTCAAGCAACTCATATGGTTCAACTGATTCATTTCCTGTAAGATGCAATTTTTCTGTTGATGTCTTGACTGGCTTACCTAAAATTGAATAATTCACAGCTTGCTCGGATGGATTTTTCGATTATCTAGAAAATAAGTGCACAACTAATTGTGGTATTGGAAGATATGGTGAGGTAATTTTTAATGAAAGAGGTATGATTGAGACTTCAGTCTGTAGTACTTGTGATGATAATTGCTTTGAGTGTGCAACTTAATTCCAATGTATTTCTTGCAAAAAGGGATATTATTTAAAAACTGAAACAAACTAAGTAACAAGAGGTTAGTGTCTAAAAAAATCAGGAACTGCTAATATGACAATATATGTTGACAGTGTTTCAGGCATGAAATCAACTGATTAAACGACTGGTTTAAGTCTTAACGATCCTTTTTATTCAATTCAAAGTGCAATAACTAAAGCATATGAATATGGAGCAAGCTACGAGAACGCAATTGTAAATATAATGCTAGCACCAGGAAAATCTCACGCTATGCTTCGTTACAATGATATTGTTATTTTACCAAGAGCCTATGATTAAAATTCCTAATCAACTATGATCAAAATTGATACAATCGATGGAACTTAAGTTAAAGTTCTATACAAACTCAGAGACAAGTTTAATTTCCTAGTTGGTGGAGGGTTAGAAATAAGAAATGTAGTGTTCGATGCAACTGATTCAATTATAGATTCCAGATTTACCAACTTTAATATATCACTTTTAAGTTCAAATGAATACGCTTGCTTGAAAGATCCATTAAACAACTGTTGCAACATTTCAAAGGATTTGACTAGCGGAAAGTATGTAATAACTGGACCTGATTTCTGCTAGCTCTAAGTATAGCCGTAAGTTTAAGAGTAATTTAATCATACATTATAGAAATGATTAGTGTCATTTACCAATTGGCGGTTCACTAATTTAGTTTGACATTACAAGTTAAACATCTCTGACTTCTCCGTAGACTCTACTTCTTTAGGTATGTTAATTATTAACTCTAATGCTATATAGAATGTTATTTTTGAAAACTTTGTCTATGATTTCAATGCTTTAATAGAATTAAATGACTTTGGAGGCCAAATCACTCTCATTAATACTAGTTTTATCAATATAAATTCTTGTGGAAGTGTCATTAGAAACAAAAGAATCGATCAAGTTCTCAACTACCTTAAGGAGGGTTTCCTGACTCAAAAATTATTGAAATCCTTTGAAATTCTCAAAAGCATACTACCAAGAAATGATTTATTTTCAAATATATGCGACTAATCAAGTACAAGCCCGTGTTTTAGTTTAAACATATCCGGAGGTATCATTTAAGATTTTGGCTAAATGACTGCCTTTTCTTAAACACCTATTTGGGTAAATCCGATGCTGAAAATGAAAAATACGGGGTTGTTTTTAGATTTAGAAAACTTTTAAGGACAAATCTTAATTTAATAAGTTGAATTTAATAACAACCTAGCAGTAAATCTTGATTATGAATAATAAAAAAAAACTCTTCAAAATTAGGAATAAGAATTAGATTAATACTAAAATTATGGATTTAAATCTGCTATTCAATTAAGATCATTGATTTCAATAGTCAATCACGGTAACTACAAGATTGAGATTGCAAATAATGATTTCATCTAAAATTCTGGCACGAAAGGTGTTATATATCTGGACATGAATCATAGAAGTGACTAAAATACATTAATAATTGAGGAGAACAGATTTCAAAATAATTTTGGAATAATTTAAAGCAATGTCCTCTTTATTAGAGCGAGAGGTTAATAAGACTAGGATGTTTACTACTAAGCACTTGATAGTAAGTAAGAATTATGCCTTGGATATGCAATAAAGAATAATAAATTCATTAAAAACTTCGGATTTCAGGGAATTTCAGGAGGTTCCATTCATTTTGAATGCACAAATTATTAAATGCAAGAATATGCAAATGGGATTATTCAATTAGATTCAATTGAACAAACTGAAGAAGCTATTTCAAATTCTCTATCTCTAGAGAACCTTGAACTTGAAAACTATAGTTTAGCTTTAGAAGGTAATACCTATATTGACAATACTGCTTCAAAATAAAACGGCATAGTAAACATCATAAATGTAAAGAAACTCACAATGTAAAATGAAACATTTATCAATAATACTGATGCATTCTTATAAAAATCAACTATTCTTGCCAGGAAAATACTTTAAGAATACATGCCTTAAGATACAAATTAAGAGATAAATATATTAGGCATTGATACAGATTAAAATCTCGCTGCTTCACTTATTAGATTAGAGAGATCTAGATATGTGTTAATAAATTCAATCAATTTTGATTCTAATTACTTGATAGAACCATAGGCAAGCATTAATAGAGCGCAAGCTATTTTTCTTACTGATATAGTAGGCATAATATAAATTGATTCAATAAATTTGAGATAAATGAGAGGACCCATTCAATATCTTTAATCAGAATACATAGCTTCAAATGAAATTCAAAACTCCAATTTATTAGATGGTAGTTTATTGAATGTTTTACAAACAAGTATTAACACTTATTAGATAAGAAATTGCAGCTATAATAACTGGAGAATAGAAAATATAGCTTTAAGATAAAATACATATTCAGACATTGAAAGCTTTATTGGTATTCCAATTAAATTTATACTGGAATAGTCTCATGCAATCATTGACAACTTAACTATTACTAATCTTTAATGCATAGATTGCAGCAGACCTTTGATTTCGTTAAATAGTTCTGATATCCTCTTTAATAATTCGGAATTTTAAGATATAACATTCTATAGTATCATGGTTCTTGAACCAGACTAATAAAGCAGCCTCATTAGAATTGAAAATGCTTATAGCATTAATTTAGCTATTGAAAATAGTTAATTTGAGAATATATAAACTGATACTTTAAGAAATTTAAAATTAATAGATGTTGCGACTAATTTTGATTAAGAAGCCAATATTCTTTTAAAAAATAGCTAGTTTTTAAACATTAATTTCAATTCATCAGATGGTTCAATCCTTAAAATATAAAGTGGTATGTTATTAATCTTAAATGCTTCTCAATGTGTATTTAGCTAAATTAAAAATTCAAAGAATGCGGGTATAGTTATTGCAAATGTCTAATTGGGTATAAATATAGAGTTCACTGACTCATTTATAAATAATATAGAGTCTTATGATTAAGGAGGAATATTAAATCTATAGGCTCCAAGCACTTACTTAACAATAAAGAATACTTTAATTTAGATAATCAGGACAAATGGAAGTGCTCCCATTTCTATCATTTCTTCAGATGCTATTAACATTTAAGTCAACAGCAATACTCTAATCAATAAGGTGGTGGGGACTTAAGATGGAGGCATATTCTCACTTTAGTCAATTTAACTTACATTAAATATCTAAGACTCATAGATAAATTAGATAATAAATACTGCAAGAGGGGGTTTAGTATTTGTAGAGGCAAACGATTACACTGGTGAAATCGAATTCCTATAGTCTGAAATCAAAGATATTTATGCCGAATAAGGTGCAATTATCTACTTCAATGTCTAATAGCTTGCTGAAGATCCATATAGCATTAATTTTAAGATAAAGTCTACTGGGAATTTATACGAATTTTTTAATTACCAAAATATTGATTGGATAGGACAAAACTTTTAGAATATATAATTTACACCGAGTTTTCAATCATAGGCAAGCTAATTAGAGGAAGAGAAGTATTTATTTTATTTGACCAATTCAGCAATATCAACTTAATTTGACTATGACTATTTTGATATTACAAACTAAAACTAATATGATTCATTAATGCATTTAGGACTAGGAAATTAACACACAATTACCAACTCATAGATAAGAGGAGTAAAATCCAATCCTGGGTCATTATTTAATCTAGTTCCTTCATTTAATTCTGTTTAAATTACCTGCTTAAGATGCAATCTAATGATAACTGCTAGTCTTATAATGATTGATAGAACTTCTAAATCAAGTTTTGTTAATGTTTTAACACAAGGTTAAGTGACTTTTGATTCAATTGAGCTAGTTGACTCTAACACGACTACAATTGGGAGATTAATCACTGTTGGTGGGCAATTCTCTTCCTTCATCAATATATTGAATAGCTTTATAAAGTTAAACTTCGGTAACAATCAAGATAGTAACATCAAAGCACTTATATATAGTAATAACCCCTTCGCTCGTTTTTGGATTTTCTAAATTAATCTTGATTTCATAACTTAATCAGATATCTCCTTTATATCTGCTATTGCTGCAGCAAATATCTAAATCTTTCAAGCTAATATAATTTAGATTTAAACTGCTTCTCTAGGCTAATTTTTGAATGTTAACTCATTCATTTAATGCTAAGTATTACTTTACTATGTTTCGTTATCTTGCAGCGCTCTACCTTTTGATATTTAAAATACTGCTATGCTTTTATAGTAAGAGGAAATATAAACCTAAAAGAGTATAATTTATGTGGAAAATGTAATGCTAAGTTCCTTCTTAAATTAAATGAGCAATTGTTTAATTGCAAATAAAGGTGCTATATATCAAACAAAGTAATCAACTTTTAGAGATCAGTTTTCAAAATACTAAGACATTGCAGCTTTAAGAGGAGCTGTAGGATATTTTGATAATACTTAAGTTTATTTTAATCAAATAAATGTTGCTTAGACTATTGCCTAGATAGGAGGCTTACTTGAAATTATCGGGAATAGTTATCTCGAAATCAGGAATTCAAACATAGATAATCTGAGGGCAACAAAAAAGGGAGCAGGTATATACGCTGAAGATGATATTAGCTAGATCACAATAAGTCTTTAATACACTACATTTATAAATTTCAATATTTAGCTCAACTTTCTTTTCTTTGGAAACTAAGTAGACGGAGGTGTAGTTTATGCAAAAGGCTCGGGAATTGATATAATGATATAAAATGATGTTTAAGCTATTTAGTTAAAAGCTTAAAAAGGGTGCTTAATATATGCAGAGGGGGTAAAATCTATACTAATTGATACGTTGAAATTCTATTACTCTTCATCAAATGCTATTTATGTAGTGGGAGAAACATAAGTAACTAGTACAAATAATTTTTTCTAATCCTCATTTTTTTCATTATCCACATTCTACTTTGATCGAGACAACTTTTATAATAATCAATAGATGATGCCCTTAATATTTGCAAACTTTTAAAGCATATTTATTTTATAAGATGGAGTCTCACTAACTAGCTCATAAAATATATTTTAGAATTGTTATTTTGCTCCCTAGGGAGGCATATATTATGTCTAAAATTCTACTTTATCTGATGATTTATCGACATACAAAGATGTTGGAGCTCAATAAGGAGGATTAATGTATTCTATTAATTCAAATGCTACTATGAGCAACTTTTATGTAGAAAATTGCCTTGCTTTAAATGGTGGGATGATATATCAAGATAAATTTTCACAAATAGTGCTGTTATATGGGTCAGTAATTCATGCAAGTGCTACTTAGAAAGGATCTGTTGTTTATTCTTAAAATGATGAAGTTTTGGAGAGCGATAGTTTAAATTAAATAGGTTAAATCAAATTTCCTAAATTATTTGGTCAAGGAATACAAATAAGCTATGCCTTAAGTATCGAGGATGGAGGCTCTTTTTATATTGATTCTATTGGCATGTAATTTGAACTATTAGATATTACTTGCTCTACAACTGAATCAATAGCTGGATTCGGAGGATTTCTATTTATTAAAGAAGCTAATTTTATCAAACTTAACAACTTGTAACTATTTGATTCATATTCAGCTAGCGGATAACAAATCTATTCTTAGAAAGAGGGGTTAATCTTTGTTTTGTCTGAATCTTACCTCTACCAGATTCAAAGATAAGCACTAGAGTTATACCCTTTTCTTTTTAATTAAGAAAATACTGGAGGTATTACTCTCATAAAAGCTTAATCAGCATCATTTGTTTCAAATTATATTGTTGGCAACTATTTCTCGAAAACAGGCGGAGCATTATATATTTAAGGAGGATCTATTTCACTTTCTGGATGCATTTTTTGAAATATGTATGCAGAGTTTGGGGGCACAATGTATTTGGAAAATCTTTAAGATGCTGTGCTTGAAAATGTTTAAATATTTCAGAGTTTAGCTGGAAATAATGGGGGTGGTATATATATTAAAAATCCAAAAGGTGACGTCTAAATCATAGATTCATATTTCACTAGGATGGTTGCATTTAATGAAGGAGGATGTGTATATTACATAGTAGAAGAGGTTTCTTAATAAGATTGGAACCCTTTTGATAATTAGCTAGTAATCCCTCTCATTTAACTTTAAAGACTTGAGTTTACAAATGTGAGATTTACAACAGTTTAGGCTTATAACGCTAGTTCAGTCTTAGTCTTTGGTTTATAAACAAATGTAATCTTTTCTTCTTGCTATTTGGTCTAATCATATGGGGAAGAATATAACTCTATTTTCATAAAGACAGCTAATTTGGTAGAAGTGTCCAATTTTTATGTAGAAAGCATTTACTCAAGAAGTAAATCTGGTTTCTTGTATGTGGATTATGTAAAAGAATCTCTAAGTGTTCGCTTTTCATAAATTTATTGCAGAACAGATCGTGATTAATACACTAATCCTCCCTATTATAATTGGAGAAATTTAGGTGAGGAAGAAGTTTACTAATCTGAAAATGATCAAAAGACAAAAAGATCTCTCTTATTTTACTTCGATAATATGGGATAGTCCTTTTATTCAGATTTAGATATTATGACTCCATTGTTTTTCAAATCTGGATTGCAGTTCTCAATTGAGAGTCTTGTTATGAATAAGTGCTAAATGAATAGACTAATCACTCCAAGGACGCAAGCTTTAATTGTCAATTTAGCTGAGTAATCAACATTTTCAGATGCTAATTCTTTTTATAAAGATGTCGAAGGACTCTATGGTGGAATCTATAGTTTCAGAAAAGCATATGTATATCTTTTCAATAATACTGTTATTAATCTTTCAACTAGTAATTATGGAGCAATTCATTCTTACCACATCTTATAACTATTCATACAGAATTGTACGTTTTACAAGGTCACAAACAATGCAGGATAAGTTTCATTTGGTGGAATATTATCATTTTTTAATGACGAATTTGAATTTTTCTCTTATAGAACAGTGACTATCAGGAATTCAACGTTTGAAAAGATATTAATTGTAGCTGGAAGTGGTGGTTTTATCTATTAATAGGATGATGGATTGAGAAGCATTAACATTGAATCTGTCACTGTAAGGAATGTGTCAGCTTAACAACATGCAGTAATGTATATAACAGGACTTAGAAGTGGCCTATATATTTCTTCACATCCAGATTATTAGATGACTGAGTTTTCCGATTTCTATTCAATCCGATCTACTTAGCTATTGTATTATCCTGAAGGATCTAGTACAAAAAGATTATTGAATGAAGTGACTATAAAAAATACAACTGTTGACTGTCTAAACGAAAATGCTTTTAACTAATTATAAGAAAGGTACTTAGAATATATTGAAGGAATAATTCGATTTTCAGGTAGTGGTGGCTTACATACTGAGAACTGTATATTTAGAAACTGTAGATAGGCTAGTTAAGGACCTATGATTAGAGTTGATAGTTTTTAATACGAAGATAAAGGATCATAGTTTTATAATTTGATTGGCACATATGGTTCAGTAGTATCCTGCATTAGCTGTAAATTAATAATGGAAAACTCAATTATTTATGATGTTGAATCTTCAGAATCAGGAGGAGCATTATATATTTCAGGTATAAGCTAAGTGGCTCTTAAAAATATAACTGCTTATAATACCAAAGCAAAAATTTATGGAGGATTTTTGTTTAATGGAAAAAGTAGCTATACTGATTATTCTATAATAACTATTCAAGATTCAAAAAACATATCAAATATATACTCTCAATAAGGTGGCTTCATTTACATAAATAATCCTTCGTCAAATATTACACTGAAAAATGTTGAGCTAACAAAGATTTCTTCAAAAGATTAAGGAGGGATCTTCTATGTTATTGACTCAGATATGATTTCAATAGAAAATTCTAAATTTACAGAATTCAAATCAATAACAGGAGGATTCATTTCATCTTCTTCATTTTTAATGAGATTGATGATTACAGGATCAACTATCATTTGTGATAAAGACTATAATTAAGATTCAGAGATTGATTAGCTTTCGGGTTGGT